CAGTTGTTTATCGCTTGTGTGATGTCCTGATGGGGTACAACTACTTACCTACCTGATACCATCGAAATTCAAACTCTGTTCTGGATGCAGAAGATTGGAGCTGGGCCATTGTAAGAGGGCTGTGATGTCGGTTCTCAACCTAATCTAACTCTGGATGTAATACTTATAGGCTGAGATTCTAGGGTAATAACTTGCTAGTTGGGTTTAACTGTTGTTAAAACAACAAAAACACGATTATTTCAATTATATCTTATTTTGTTAACATCATTATTTTTTTTAAGATAGCAGTTAAATAGCGTCTTCCACGCTGTGAGGCTTATACAGTATATGGTACAGGCTGTTTTTTTTTAAATAGGTAGGTGGGCACTATATCTCGCCATAAACTCAAGCATATCTTGTCCAACTACTGTGACCTCTCTATGGACCTTGGATCATATCTTTTTTTGTTAACCTTCAGTTGACAAAATCTTCTACTTCTTCTGTCCTGTTTTTGACCTTCACCTGCTGGTAATTCACCCTTTTCTGGATTTTGGTCTTCTTCTAGAACGATGTTTGTGGTTACATCCGTTTTACAGATCTGTCTTATTTTGTATTTTTTTCTCGCTTTTCAGATAGATGCACTCGACTTTTAAGGAAGCTAATATTTTATCAAAATGATACATAATTTTCTAAAATTATTTGAACAGAATATGCAATCCTTTTCCAACATTTTTAAATTTTGATGTCAAGGGCAATAACCTAGAAAAATTCGTTTTATAAGATTGTAACGATGTATCTCTTACAGTTCATATTTTAACGTATTCATTATTGAAGCGTATGGAAGATCTAGTCTCAGATTTAGATGCAATAAGTAGAGATAGGAGGAAATACTAGACAAAGCTGAAGTTACAATACGGAGAATTAAATCTGTGACCTCCAGAAATGAAATATGGTAACGAAGCAATTTTTGTGTGTCGTGAATTGAGTCCCAATGTCTGATGCAATTTATTTATTTATTGTAAAGCCCCACCTCTGACTGTTCCCGGGGGTCCTAAAATAAGCTAGTGGTTGAACAGGGTTTCTAGGACCTCTCCCCGGTGTGATCCTCATCCGCAGGGTGGCACTTTGTGTCACTTGATGTTGCTCGCTAGGTGGGGTTAAGTCTCACTTACTAACTGGGTGTCATTAAAATCCGTCGTCTCAATATGAGACGCAATTTTTCCTTATTTTAAAGCCCCAACTTGGCTGTTGCCGGGTACCTAATGGTTTAATGGAATCTCTGGGACCTCTCCATGGGTGATCCTCATCCGCATGGTGGCACTTTGTGTCACCTGGTGTTTATCGCTTGGTATATGTCGGTAGTGTTGAATCTAACTCCCTGATTGTCGACATCGAACATGATTATATTTCATAATGGGACACAATTTGTTGCTATTTCTGAGCCCCACGGCAGCTGATATTTTGGGCTGTAATTTAACCTAACGGCTGAACGGGGTTTCTGGAAGGTATGCATGGGTGATTCTCATCTGATAGTGGCAGATTGTGTCACCGGGTGTTGACCGCTCTTTGCGCTGTCCTAGTGGGGCTGAAGATCACTCTCTTTTGGATAACGTGTTCACAAGAAAATCAGAACTTGGACTGACCGGGAAGTTGTTTTAAAATGAAATATGCTGTATGTTTCCACATGTACCATCCTTGCGTTTCTTGTACCATGTTGGTTAAAATGTATATTTATAAACATATATATACCTTTTCACGCGAGGCTCTCTTGCGCTAATTGAATATACATCCTTTTGGTTCGTCCACTTACTTCATATGTTTATTCGGTAAAATACGGCGTGCAGACAGTTTGCAAATATAGTTAATGTAAGGATACAAACCGTGCGCTTATAATTATACAAAAGTCGCCCCCATGTGAAATGTATTTTTTTTTTGGGGGGAGGGGGGGTTGTTTTGTTATTTGAAGCCCAACCCTGGCTTCTGCCAAGGTCCTAAATATAGTCGGGGCATAGATATGGCCTAGCGGATGAAAGGGGTTTATGTGACCTCTCCACGAAGGAATCCTCATCCGCATTGATGCACCTTGTGTCACCTGGTGTTTATCGCTTGTGTGATGCCCTGGTGGGATACAGCTATCTACCTTGCGCTTTTTTCTGAAGCCCTACCCTGGCTCTTACCAGAGGCCGCAATATAACCTAACGGTTAAACGCGTTCTCCAGGACCTCTCCACGGGCGATCCTTAGCCGCACTTTTTGTCCCTGCGTGTTTATCACACTGTGTGATGCCCTGGTGGGGTAAAATATACCTTACCGTGCGCTTTGTTTTCAGAAGATACAGGCGGAAGTATTTTCACAAACTCACATTGACTGGCGTTGTTTGGTTTTAATGCACGTCAGGTTTTCACATTCTTTTCATTGTGTTTCATGTAAAAAGCAAAGTTTAGTGTACAGTATTGTTTCATACTCATATGAGACCGCTGATATGTCTTCTTTTTGGGATCTGCCATAAAGGCTGCACAAAAGCAAAAGTGGTGGTTCAGTTGCATGCGTTTTGTCGAAGGTTTACAAGAAAGATTTTGAGCCTTTATGTTTAAAAGTCTGACACGTTCTCATAAAATGATCTTGCTAGCTTTAGAAATCAAAACTGTGTGGCAGGTGGCTACTCCCATGAGCCCCTAGGACAATCCATTTGTGTGTCCGACACTGCGGACTGGGTAACAATCGTCAAATAAATAGCCGTTTCTGCATCAACTGATCTCAATGTCCTTCTAGTTGTCCTAGCAATATTTATGGGTATTATGCATTAATCTTCCTGCAGCTTTTAAGAAAGAGTAGATATCACTCAGCACATCGCCACACTGAAAAAATACTCCAAGCACAACGACAAACTATCAGTTTTATTAGCTCAGTGGATACGAAACTTCTCAACAAATGCTACCATCTTGTGCTCACAAATTACTTCATAAATCATCATCTTTACGTAAACGAGAATTGATTGTGTAGGAAAGCATAGAAAATTGTGGACAATCACTTGTATCAACTTTATAAGGCACAGATGACTGTGCAGTTACACACCAAGAACTGAAATGAGAAACAAAAAATCAGGAAATGAAAACATCGTAGTGACTAGGCCTGCCGAAGTAGGTACTTTCGTACGAATGTGGTACTACCCTTGCCGAGCAAACTACTTTTCATATCTCGCCCGATGATTGCGTACTTTGTAGTTTAGGAGGGGGTGGGGGGGGGGATTTCTAGCAGATGCTCGAGGTTTAGAGGAAAGGCAAGACGAACGCTTAATCAGAATGCTACTGGCACCACTAGTATCGGAACTCTTCTCTGGCTGCTAAAGATGGGGACGGAGCGCTTATGAGAATGCTCCGAGTGTTGTGATGTCGATTCTAGAATCAAATAATCAATCAATATCTCCCTTAACAATATTAAGAAAACAAATTCAATCTTCGTTGAAAACTTCAACAATACACGCATCGGCGCGATCAAAAGTTATTGCCCCTGGACATTCTTTGTACCAGATGGAAGCCACTACAGCAGCTGTGTGAAAACTGAGTGGGGAAATATGGTGTAGCAATGGTGTAATGGACACAGAATTTCATTTCTTATCCAGCATAAAGTAAGCCACTTATATATGTTTTAAAGACGTTCTAACACTGGTTAAAATTTTAAAAAACCTCCAAAATGTAACATCAAAGTCAATGGGACAAACCTAAAGCAAGTTCATATATTTAAGTACTTAGGTACCCTGATAACATGAGATAGAATAAATATTAAAGAAGTAAGGTAGAATAGCTTGAAAAAAAGGCAACATTTTACAAAGTGAAGAATATTTTATGCAATTCTTTGTCAGTTGAGACGAGAAAGATAATTCTTATAAACTGTTTAAATCCTTTTTTGAAATACGGAAGTGAATCGCAGACATTTTGTAGAATATTGAAACTTTATTTAGCAGCTACGGGGATGAGGTTTCACAGACGAATGATGAGAAAACCATGCACAGATACAAAGAGCAATGAAGACGTCTTGAAAGAGAACTGATTACCCACATCAGACAGAGATCTACATTCTTTGGTCATGGGATGAATAGAAGAAACCTGATGCACATCGTGACAGTAAGAAAGTTGGAAGGGAGGAGAGGCAGAGGGAGAACGAGAGAATAGTTGCTGGACAGTATGACATCATGGCATGGAGGATCATCTGTGTCAGAGTTGATTAAAAGTACACTAGAAAGAAGGTTGTGGATAGACATGACTACCAACGCCCCACGGCATCGACTTTAAAAAGAAGAAGACGAAGAAGAAGAAGAAATTAAAAGGTAAACATTTTGAGTTTTGTCAAAACAATATGTAATACTTCCCCAAAATAATTTTGGCAGCACTGTTTACAATTAATACTTATGACAGAAAGGCGGAGGTGCCGGATTGGATTCTGTTCACGATATTGAAAACATTACATAATATAAAACGCATCTGAGGAATGGATGCAAGCTTAAATGACGCATTATTGGTTCAGTGGGACAGTGATGATGGCTAAGATGAAGACGATAATGTTGGTGCTTTTTGCAAGGAAAATAACCGATAAACGATGTTACATAACAGCATGACAGAGAATGGTTCCAAACGGTGGTTTCAGAGTCAGCTGTATCCATATTTCCTCATCGTCGTCTGATGAAAGCTCATGGAATAATCGGATGAAATTTCATTGTCTTCATTCTCAGCGACACAGGCCCTTTGGGTTCACAGCTGCAGCTATAGCCCACCTCTATTCATCTCTGTGATGTTCATTCTCTTCCTCGTTGGTGGCTTCAATTGTTTGCAGGTCTTCCTCTTTATTATGTCACCATCGTCTTATTCGTCTGCCTCGTAGTCTACCCCCCCCCCCCCCATTAAACTCTTTGGTGTGCAGTTGATGTCTCTCTGTTACCATTCATCGCAGATTAGTATCCCTCATGATGCCAGTAAATACAATGTGCCATCTTATATTGGATACTGCACCAATGCAAAGTGTCCGTCACCATTTACTTTTCTGTAGGTAGATCATAAGGATGAGATTCTTCGTCAGAAACAGAACGACAATCTGGAGAGAAATTAAAGCTTTGAAGTTATCATGTTTGGAAAAAATATTTACTGAAAAGTTGTAACTCGTGTTCAGAATAGAAATGACCAAATATTTTTGTAAAGTCATGCGAAAAAAAATATACTGACATCTAGAGAAATAAACAACACACTAACAATGCGAACTGTCAATTTTATGCATACTCAGTCCTTCTGTATGGTACAGAAATCTTGACTACGAACAAACAATTAAAACAAAATTGTTGAATCTCTGAAGAAGTGCGTGTACAGAAGATTAGATTTTATCTCAGGGAAATAAAACAATAAAATACACAGGTTTTAGAAGGCCTGTGAATGAAAAGAAAGTGGCTGACGGCACTAAAAAGAGACGAGTGAAAATAAAAGATATAAAAGTTTTATAAAACCTTAACTCTAAGGAAAATTTGAAAGCAAGCGAGCAAGATGCAGACAGCTACGCAAGTGGGAGGATCAGATCAAGATCTGGACGGACAGCAGTCTGGAAGAGTTTAGTCCAGGGCGAAAGATGGTAACTGTTGTTAATCTACTTCTGCCTACCTTCAGCAAACATCACTTCATAGGTCTCGAGAAGTTAGCGTCCCTTGGATATTTTCTCTAGGTCATGCAGGTGTGTTGGGAAATGAGCAGGTGGATATACTGGCCTACTCTGCACCACTTGTTGGTGATATATAACAAGCTAGGTATTGTAGGGACCCTTTAGGAGCGAGTGAACAGTGCCGAGGCACAGATAGATCATTTCGGTCTGAGGAGAATGGCGCTGCAAGGAGTTAACAGGGGATCTGGCAAACCCTCAACACTCAGGGGAAGAGTGAGACAGATATACAATCAGTCAGTTACTGGTGCCATAGGAATTGAAACTCTGCGTTGCTGCTGACGATAAGGACAGAGCGCTTATGGGAGTGTCCCGAGTGCTGTGGTGTCAATTTTTAATTCAACATTTAGCATTCAAAGCCTACCTTCATTTTTAAGATGGCACCTGCTAGTTTGACTGAAAAGAATAAATTTCCCTTTCAGATCATCGGAAATCAGACCCACATTTATTGACTACTCTGTAGTGTAATCAGATTATCCTTCTTTCAGTAGTGTGCCCATGCCTCTGGACAGTTAACTCTGATAAAGTTAGTTGCGTATGATTTACAGAACTTTTCAGAACAAACCCCAGCATTGGTTGGCTGTTGCGGTTTTCAAGGCACAATTTACGTACAGGAAGAAAGCATTTCCCCGCCATTTGCGCATTCAGCTCCTTTCAGATGGTGCTAGACCCACATTTCTTTTAAATTCAATGGTTGACGCCGCCGATATTACATCGGTCACCTTTATTTGGCAGAAATTTTCCTAATACCAGTTTAGCCTAGGTCCAGCAAGCAAATTTTACAAATCTTTCTAGAGGCGGATCCTAGTCTGAAACATTCGTACGACCAGACACGAACGAGTGCTGTCTCATCACCCAGATAATTGTCTAGTATCCACTTAGACACGAACGAGTGCTGTCTCATCACCCAGATAATTATCTAGTATCCACTTAGACAAAAACAAGTGCTTTTCTCGTGACCCAGATAATTGTCTAGTATCCATTTAGACAATAACGCGCGCTGTCTCATCACCCAGATAATTGTCTAGTATCCACTTAGACACGAACGAGTGCTGTCTCATCACCCAGATAATTGTCTAGTATCCATTTCATGTGGCGAGGCCAGACGTTAGACACTTGGCCATTAAAGGAATCTCCTCAGATGAATATCGTCTTCTTTTTTTTTTTTTTTTTTGGCTGTAAACTCCCGCCGTAAGTTCTTATTGTTCATCCACTTCTAGACTTTAGCCTTGTTCCTTGTTTGCGTGCACATTCGTTTAACAGATCTGGCTTATTTGTATGCAGATTTGTGGTACTTGAATCTCATGCAGATGCACTCCTTCGAAGGAAACATCATTATTTAGTTGATTAATACGACATGCTGGTTTAGGGTAAATGAATTTATTCCCCACCCCAAATTTAGCTTTGGAACCCACACAGAGACAGATGAATATGAAGAAAAACTATCCTTCCCAAAGAAAAATGGGTTTCAGTCATTACTCTCTTATTTTTCAATTCTCCTCGTTTTGTGAACTGCTGCATTTGCTTGAGCTATTCCACATTTACCTTCTTTAATGGATTTCCCATCTGCTGTTATCAGGGTTACCAAGTACTTAAATGTATCGACTTACTCTAGATTACTTTAATGTTTCATTAAAATTTAAAATTTAATGGGGAGAGAGGGTGGAGGGGGGACTTATTATTTTTTTTTTAAATCACTACCCATAGATAAACAATTAGTGTCAATAACCGGGGATCTGTAACCATGCATACCTGAGGGAGAAGAATGCCCAGCATGACACCCCCAACGACCAGCACATGGTCGTTGATCCATTCTCCGACAGCCCTGAAGCAACCTGTGGTGTAAATCTTGTATGTGTTTGCCAGATTGGGCTCCACACCGCCATCATTCTATGGGGAGATTAATATTATTAAACCTTCGTCCATATTTGTTTCGAATTTATGATTTCCTGTCTGTCTTTTTGTAAAATAATGAATGTATACACAAACAGGCTTAACCTATAATTAAAAGTTAGTTGTAAATCACTTACATGGCGTTGCAAACCAACCTCAGCTTTTATTGTCTGCTTGTGGTTTTACTAGCCAACTTTACATTTAATAGTTTGCCATTTAAGTCATAAAAGTACTTAGGCGCGAACTTCAGCTGCTCCAGTGTGCTAAGAGAAGACATACAATCTATATTACAATCTGGAAATAAAGTTGACTGTGCCCTTCAACATCTGCTAAAGCCAAAGTCTCTATCTCGCAAAACCAAGATTGAAATATATAAAATATTGATAGGAACTGTTGTCTTATTAGGTTCTGAAACTTTGAGGACAACTAAAAGAGATGAAGCCTTATTATACATTTTTGAAAACAGAGTGTTATGACGAATCTTTGGACCTCTCAAAGATGCAAGCAGCGAGGCATGGAGAGAGAACTAACAACGAAATTATAATCTGTTTCAATCACCATTGATCACTGGCATAGCTGGGGCATATTGAGAGAAAACCAAACGACAGAGAGGTAAAAACTGTATACACAAGGGACCTGAATGGTCGTAGACCACGAGGTCGACTAAGAATACGATAGAGAGATAATGTCCAGACAGACCTACATACACTTGTTAACCAACTGGAGGGAGAAGACCATGCAGAGAGATGGGTGGAAGCGGGTGATATCTACAGCAACGAACCTTACGAGCTCAGAATGCTGAAGAAGAAGAGGAAAAAGTTTGCCATTGCTTCTAGACAGTCTGTGCTCAGTGCCACTGTCGATATGAAAGCACATCGCTCTGCTGCTAATCGCCTACATCTTATTCGACCTGTGTAAATCCGGAATTATGGATCAAGCTTCAGACTCGGGAGGAGAGGTAGGAGGAATTTAAAAATAAAATAAAGAAATGAGCCGGGAAATTTGTAACATCTGTTGTAACTGGGAAGTGAAACAAATAATGTAAAGTAAAAATAAAGTAAAGATCACTTTTTACTCCTTAAGGCTCATCGGGCATATGGGAAGAGCACCCATATTTTTACAGACCAATCATCACTAGGTGGGTAATGTGGTCATCATTACACCGGCCGTCTTTACTTCTCCAGGACATGCATCCTAGTACCCATTTTAGGCTGGGTCGGCCTGCGACGTCCCGTACTATGATAAAAATCCAGAAACAAATATGGTACATACATGAGATAAAAATTAAGTCAATAAAATAAAATATATGACAGTGTCTATACGGCTGTCTTGTATATAGCACGGCAAGACTCTTTATTCTCGCTTCAGGTGTTAGTTTTCTATTGGCAAGCACTTCACTATTTTTTACAGAGCTATTTTTCAGCAAACGATTCTTGCACTGGTCGTCTTTCCTGTACCGCAAACTATACTAGATCATTATAAGATGTAATAGACAGCAGCTACATTCGTTATTGATGTGTCCCAGAAAAGTCTGGCACAGATCATCAATTACCAGGTCCTTTACAGAACATCTTCTTATCACGGCACGCCTACAAGTCTCTCTAGCCAGTTCTCCAGCCCTGTGTGCTTTCATAGACAATGCATTTTCAATGTCCTGAATTAACCCTAGAAGAGGGTCTGCCTCGCTTCATTTTCCAAAGAGTACTCTCCGCCACCGTTCTCTCCAAACCACCATGACGTTCTCTCCAAACCACCATGACGTTGTCTCCAAACTACCATGACGTTGTCTCCAAACCACCATGACGTTTAACACTTCAACGGTATCTCAGCTTTCGAGACAGGATGCTGTTTATGAGCCAGTTCTCCTCGACGCTCAAATCGTGTAGGATGTCACATCGATTTTCTTCTTCTTGTTCGGTGCTATTCTAGTTAATTTTGAGTAGCATTTCAGGTTAAAAGCTCCACATTTATTTTTCAGGGATTAAAAAAGAGTACATGACTCATAACTATAAGTTCGTCATCATCATGTGCCCTGCCAACTGGCGTAGGCGCTTATTCGTCTCCACAGATCACGATCCCTGGTTGCCTGGAACAGCTCTCTTGATGATATCCCTCCATGCCATCGTTTTAGCCCATTCAGCATAATCTCTCTTGGTCTACCTCTACCCCATTTCCCACTGATCTTTCAGGTTGTCACGATATTCTCCAATGTCTCTCTTCAAATTGTATGGCCAAAGAACAGTTTTGTTTTTTTCTCATTGTTGTATATAGAGATCTACTTTCATTCGCCTCTTTCAAGCAATCGTAGTTAGTTACTCTGGCCATCCAAGGTATTCGTAACATTAATCTCAGAAACCACATCTCTGTTGCTTCACAATTCTTCCTAATCTGTTCAGTGACATGCCAAGATTCGCTGCCATACAGCAGAACAGGTTCTATTTAATATTTTAGCACCCTCTTTCTGACATTAAATGAGAGCGATTTATTGCATAAGATATTTTTCATTTTCTGAAATGCAGCTTTCGCTTGACATATTCTGCTTTTAATTTATGTCACACATTTTCCATCTGATGATATGATTGTTCCCAGATATTTAAATTTATTGACTTGGTATTGACTTCACTTCAACTGAGATATCACAACTTGGAATTATCTTCTTCTTTGATATAACCATTATTTCCGTTTTTTAAATATTCAATGAAAGTCCTTTCTTAGCACTCTTCATCCCTACAATATCCAACAGTTGTAAATCTATAAGTTGCCGCTGAAAATGTGCATGATCTTAAAATCTGTAATTTTGCTTGCTGGCACAGATCAAGTCCATATTTGACATACTTGGCTCCATGACAACCAGGCTACAACTACGCTCTAGACACTTATTGTAACACTAAAACACAGGATACAGTTACATACAAATACTCACGGCTACTTGTAACGTATCAGTTCCACATCGGTAGTTCATTTTCTCTCCCTTCAAGAAGTGAAAATTAGAGGAAGGTGAATGTTACAGTTTCTGTGTCATAATATGTAGGGTTATAATGGCAAATTTCTTTGATTTAAAAAAGGAGGGTGGGTGGGGTGGGTGGCGTGATGTTGACAACTGACTTGTTTATATAAAACACAGGTCCATTTGCTTTCGCTTATAAAGGGCTTGAGATAGGTGATGTGGTGCCTAGAGATTTTAATGTAATGGCTTTTATGAAAACGTCTCACTTCACTGCCATACCACCGTAGAGGGAACTAAATCTTTGGAGCCTATATTCATTTCCTACAAATTAGAGTCTTTAATAACACACGCTCGCGTGTGCGAAGGCACACAGCATGCACAAACATAGAAGTGTCTCGGGAAAAGAATGACAGTAGAACGCGTTTTGCAGTCATAAGAAAGAGATAACAAGTGCAATCTGGTCCTGAGGGAGAAGAAATACAGTATAGAATAACACGGGTACTTGAAAGATTATCCAGGAAAGTTGCATCAGTTTCATCTTCAATATAGTTAATTAACGTTATTTCAGTAGTTAATTACAACACCAGGAGACAGCGTCAATTAGGAGACATTAACAACTGGGCCTTCTGGTAAGGTAAATAAATGACAAAATCTTGACGACAATGATAATTTAGTATGCTATATAAATCTTTAGCAGAAATTATATTAAAAAGATGCTACATAAATTTGTGAAATTTTCTATTTAATGGAAATATCGAGTACAAATAAGAACAGTCATTAAGATTTGCTTGCAAAGGGAAATAATAAAAAACAAAGTACAACCCCTAAGTATTTTTTCTATTATTGCTTGTTGCTTCCCTTAGCCCTCTAATTGTCCTAGCTTCACTAAGCTAGTTTCTCCTCTGCTAACTAATATTTTAAAGATACCATTGCTAAATATTGATTTAGCCCGTCAGTGTAAGATTTGTCGTGTGCTTTCTGAGAACTATCATCTTAATCCCGTTATTTACATATACTATGTTTGTTTACCGTCTCATTTTCAATATAATTTCCAATTAGAATAACTTATAAACAATCATCGTCCCCTCGTGGGATGCAATCTTATGCCCTACTCTAATTCTTACAAGGGGCCGCAATATAGCCTGGCCATAAATATGTCCGAAAGGCTGAACGCGGTTTCTGGGACCTCTCCACTGTGATCCTCACTAACATGGTGGCACATTGTGTCATCGGGTGTTTATCGCTTATGTGATGTTATGGTGAGGTAGAAAGTCAGTCAGTCAGTCTGCAATCTGTTAGTTAGAAACCCCACCCTGGCCTTTGCCCGGGGCCCTAAATATAGCCGGTCCTTAAAAAAAGCCTAACGGCTAAACGGGACCTCTCCACGGGTGATCCTAATCCTCGTGGTGGCACTTTGTGTCACATGGTGTTTATCACTTGTGTGATATCCTGCTGGGGTACAACTTACCTAACTTCCTATGTCATCCAATTCCGTTCCCATGAAGAATGAATTTTTCGTTATTTTAAATTCGACACTGTTTCTTGCCTGGGCCCTAATATAACCTAACGGTTAAAAATGGTTTATATGTGCTCTCCACGGATGATCCTCATCCGAATGGTGGCAAAAGTGGTAGGCAAGCAAGAAGTAGACAGTAATACAAGTGAGAGAATGTCAACAAATGAACGAGCATCAGTCTCAGACGATGCACAACCAGGATCAGAGACAGGGCCTACTGGAGATCAAATACACCCGACATCCATAAGATAGACAGAACCTGATTGATTGATAGATTGACAGAAAGCAGAGTAATAGCCAACTCACAGGGATCCTCCTGCAGCATGAGTACGGCACAGAGCACTTCTCGGGACTCTCACTGTCGATGGAACAGTTGAAGTAGACGTTGTTGTTCCAGTCTAGGAAACCCACATCACTGTCGCTGACCCCGCAACATCCTAGCTGTTGGTTAGATGACAGTATATTATTGTTCAAGGTTAAAGTCGAATCGATCGATTTCACTGCACCGGGATTGATCCGGTATGGTTCGGTATCTGTTCACAGAACGGCTACATACCTGCTGAGAGCGTTGCACAAAGCACGAGCATTGTAGTTCCAGTAACGAACATCAGGTCTCTGTAAAAGCTGCTCTCGAGAACTAGTCTGTAAGCTTTTTATATGTTGTTGCTAAGATACTTACTTCGGTTTGAAAGCTCTTTATGTGTTGTGACAAAGATATTCACGTCAGTCTTTAAGCTATTATGTATTGTTACAAAGATACTCATGTCGGTCTGTAAGCTATTATGTATTATTATAAAGATACTCATGTCGGTCTGTAAGCTAGTATGTATTGTTAGAAAGATACTAATGTCAGTCTGTAAGCTATTATGAATTGTTACAAAGATACTCACGTCAGTCTGTAAGCTATTATGTATTGTTACAAAGATACTCATGTCAGTCTGTAAGCTATTATGTATTGTTATAAAGATACTCATGTCAGTCTGTAAGCTATTATGTATTGTTACAAAGATACTCATGTCAGTCTGTAAGCTATTATATATTGTTACAAAGATACTCATGTCAGTCTGTAAGCTATTATGTATTGTTATAAAGATACTCATGTCAGTCTGTAAGCTATTATGTATTGTTACAAAGATACTCATGTCAGTCTGTAAGCTATTATATATTGTTACAAAGATACTCACGTCAGTCTGTAAGCTATTATGTATTGTTACAAAGATACTCATGTCAGTCTGTAAGCTAGTATGTATTGTTATAAAGATACTCAAGTCAGTCTGTAAGCTATTATATATTGTTACAAAGATACTCATCTCAGTCTGTAAGCTATTATGTATTGTTATAAAGATACTCACGTCAGTCTGTAAGCTATTATGTATTGTTATAAAGGTACTCACGTCAGTCTGTAAGCTATTATGTATTGTTACAAAGATACTCATGTCAGTCTGTAAGCTATTATGTATTGTTATAAAGATACTCATGTCAGTCTGTAAGCTATTATGTATTGTTACAAAGATACTCATGTCAGTCTGTAAGCTATTATATATTGTTACAAAGATACTCATGTCAGTCTGTAAGCTATTATGTATTGTTATAAAGATACTCATGTCAGTCTGTAAGCTATTATGTATTGTTATAAAGGTACTCACGTCAGTCTGTAAGCTATTATGTATTGTTACAAAGATACTCATGTCAGTCTGTAAGCTATTATGTATTGTTATAAAGATACTCATGTCAGTCTGTAAGCTATTATGTATTGTTACAAAGATACTCATGTCAGTCTGTAAGCTATTATATATTGTTACAAAGATACTCATGTCAGTCTGTAAGCTATTATGTATTGTTATAAAGATACTCATGTCAGTCTGTAAGCTATTATGTATTGTTACAAAGATACTCATGTCAGTCTGTAAGCTATTATATATTGTTACAAAGATACTCATCTCAGTCTGTAAGCTATTATGTATTGTTATAAAGATACTCACGTCAGTCTGTAAGCTATTATGTATTGTTATAAAGGTACTCACGTCAGTCTGTAAGCTATTATGTATTGTTATAAAGATACTCACTTCAGTCTGTAAGCTATTGTGTATTGTTATAAAAGATACTCATGTCGGTCTGTAACCTTTTTTTTCATCTTGTTACAAAGATACTCAAGTCGGTCTAGTATTATTATACAGGTACTCGTGTCGGTCTGTAAGCTATTATGTATTGTTATAAAGGTACTCAAGTCGGTGTGTAACCTAGTATGTATTCTTATAAAGATGTTCATGTTGGTCTGTAACCTTTTTATATGTTGTTACCAAGATATTCACGTCGGTCTCTGGGCTATTATGAGTTGTTACAAAGATACTCACATCAGTATGTAAGCTATTTTATGTTGTTACAAAAGTATTTACGTCAGTCTGTAAGCTATTATTCGTTGTTACAAAGATACTTACGTCAGTCTGTAAGCTATTATTCGTTGTTACAAAGGTATTTACGTCAGTCTGTAAGCTATTATTCGTTGTTACAAAGGTATTTACGTCAGTCTGTAAGCTATTATTCGTTGTTACAAAGGTATTTACGTCAGTCTGTAAGCTATTATTCGTTGTTACAAAGGTATTTACGTCAGTCTGTAAGCTATTATTCGTTGTTACAAAGATACTCATGTATGTAACTCAGTATGTAAGCTTTTATATGTTATCAAAAAAGATAATCACGTCAGTGTTTAAGCTATTGTCTGTTGTTACAAATATAGTCGCATCACTCTGTAAGCTGTCAATGTCTAGTTACGGACATGCTCAGCTCAGACTTGTCAATATTTAGTGTTGTTACAGGGATACTCACTTGTCTGTGAGCTGTCAGGTTGTTGTTACAGAGACACATACTTAAATCTCAAAGCTGTCGGTGTTTCTTTACATATAGTCAATTCAATTTTTAAGCTGTATTTGAAGCATTACACAGACGCATTGTTCTGTAAGATGTCAAAGAATTATTATAGAGATACTCACATCTGTGTGTAAGCTGTCACTGGACTGACTTTAATTGTTCATAAATGCGTCAGTTTGGAAGTGTCAATGTATTGTTACAGAGATATTCACTGCAGCCTGTAAGCTGTCACGATGATGTTAAATATCTCTTCTCTTCAGTCTGTAAGCTGTCACGATGATGTTATAGAGATAACCATTTCAGTCTGTAAACTGTCACGATAATGTTACAGAGACACTCACTTTAGTCTGTAAGCTGTCACTATGATGTTACAGAGATACTTCTATCTGTTAGCTGTCAACGATGATGTTACAGACATACTCTCTTCGGTCTGTAAGCTGTCACAATGTTGCAGAGATACTCACTTCACTATGTAAGCTGTCACGATGATGTTACAGAGATATTCACTTGAGTGTAGCTGTCACGATGATGTTACAAAGATACTCATATTAGTCTGTAAGATGTCACGATGATGTTACTAACTTCAGTCTCTAAGATGTCACGATGAAGTTACAGAGACTCTCACTTCTGTCTGTAAGATGTCACGATGATGTTAGAGAGATACCCCCTTCAGTCTGTAAGTGTCACGAGGATGTTACAGAGACACTCACTTCAGTCTGTAAGCTGTCACGATGATGTTACAGAGACACTCACCTCAGTCTGTAAGCTGTCACGATAATGTTACAGAGACACTCACTTTAGTCTGTAAGATGGCACGATGATGTTACAGAGATATTCTCTTTGGTCTGTAAGCTGTCACGATGATGTTACAAAGACACTCACCTCAGTCTGTAAACTGTCACGATTATGTTACAAAGACACTCATCTCAGTCTGTAAACTGTCACGATGATGTTACAAAGACACTCATCTCAGTCTGTAAACTGTCACGATGATGTTACAAAGACACTCATCTCAGTCTGTAAACTTTCATGATGATGTTACAAAGACACTCATCTCAGTCTATAAACTGTCACGATTATGTTACAAAGACACTCATCTCAGTATGTAAACTGTCACGATGATGTTACAAAGACACTCATCTCAGTCTGTAAACTGTCACGATGATGTTACAAAGACACTCATCTCAGTCTGTAAACTGTCATGATGATGTTACAAAGACACTCATCTCAGTCTGTAAACTGTCACGATTATGTTACAAAGACACTCATCTCAGTCTGTAAACTGTCACGATGATGTTACAAAGACACTCATCTCAGTCTGTAAACTGTCACGATGATGTTACAAAGACACTCACCTCAGTCTGTAAGCTGTCAATGAGCTGCTGGAAATCTGGATCGTCTCGGTATCTGACAATAGCTTGATTGAAGGTGTCCGAGGGGAATATGGCGTGTTTCCAGTCTGGGACGTAATAGCAAACGATCATCAGAATGGCAGCCGTGAGCTGGGCCAGCAGAGCCAGGCAGAGAATCAGGTAGTACTGAAAGAATGTACGATGATGTAGGTAAATGTAATATTTGTTAATCTAGCAATAACAGTTTTGTTTTGAACATAATGCCATGGCAGGTATCGCTTAAGGGGTCACATTGTGTCTACGTTTGTTGAATTTTAAAACACGACTTGAAACCTCAATAACTACTGTATCGGACAGCATATATTAACATATTTTCCTCCTGAGTGTGATTTATTAATTTAGAAATAATTCATGTGCAGTAATGTTCTGTAATCAATGTGATTCACACAGTAAATAAAAGTTGCATTTTCCTTCATACGTAAACTCAAAGGATATAGTTCCGTCGCCCAGCTACTGCTCCTAATGGATGGCGCAACACTGAGCTTGGGATTCCACTTTGAATGCTTGTCGACTGCGCCCATTGGGATTTTGTGTTGTGAACTGGAAATTCATAAAATGTCGAGTTGAATGTTATTAATTTAATAAATTACATGTATAACGACTGTTGTAACTAATGCTTTCATCAACCATGAACTGCATTTCTAGTTTTGGACTTTGTGTTGGCAATTCTGATTTCTGCATTTAGCATTCAGTTCGCATGTGTGCCTTGTATTTGCTAAGACTGTAGTCGCGCGCGCGCGTGCGTGCGTGCGTGCGTGCGTGTGTGTATGTGTGTGCATGTGTGCCTTGTATTTGCTAGGACTGTAGTCGCGTGCGTGCGTGCGTGCGTGCGTGCGTGCGTGCGTGTGTGTGTGTGTGTGTGTGTGCCTTGTATTTGCTAGGACTGTAGTCGTGTGCGTGCGTGCGTGCGTGCGTGCGTGCGTGCGTGCGTGCGTGTGTGTGTGTGTGTGTGTGTGTGTGTGTATGTGTGTTTGGGGTGACGGGTTGTTTCACAATAGACTATTTTGATTACCTAATTATTTGTCTCCAGCATCTTTTTCTTTTGTGTTGGCGCTTAGTAAGGGAGTTGGCATGCCTTGTTTGGGTTTACAGAACGGCTGTGATATCTGCGCGTCTCGGCCAAACATATTCTTCTGAAAGTCCATGACGTGTGCACTTAGTAGGCATGTCTATCCACACCTTCTGTCTGGTGTACTTTCATTCAACTCAAATACAGATGTCAAACTGTCCGTCATCTTTTCTCTAGGTCCCCTTCAGCCTCCAACTTTCCTAGTGTCACGATGTTGACCAGTTTTCTCCTTCTCCTCACATGACCAAAGAATGTAGATTCGTTAAATAAATAATATATGTGTCGGCCTGATCATTAATATTAGATCTAATCCAGTGCTTTAATAAGTCAATAATCATCAAAAATTGTGGCTGAACCAGGTGTTATTTATTATCGTATCATGAGATTCTGTCCACGCTATTAAAATGTCAGCTTGCACTTTCCTATCACCTAGGCCTTAGTCGCTGGTCTTGCCCCTCATTTTATTTTCTCTGCTTGCTTCTGTGTTGAGAGCTGCCGGAGTGCAGGCGTTAAATGCTTGGGGGTGTCACAGGTCTTTGCTTCTGTGTTGAGAGTTGCCGGAGTGCAGGCGTTAGATGCTTGCCGGTGTCACAGGTCTTTGCTTCTGTGTTGAGAGCTGCCGGAGTGCAGGCGTTAGATGCTTGCGGGTGTCACAGGTCTTTGCTTCTGTGTTGAGAGCTGCCGGAGTGCAGGCGTTAGATGCTTGCGGGTGTCACAGGTCTTTGCTTCTGTGTTGGGAACTGCCGGAGTGCAGGCGTTAGATGCTTGCCGGTGTCACAGGTCTTTGCTTCTGTGTTGGGAACTGCCGGAGTGCAGGCGTTAGATGCTTGCCGGTGTCACAGGTCTGATTTTCATCTTGAGAAAATTTGTATCCTGGAAATTTGATTCCCTCGTTCATTATTTTAGCAATGCAGGGGCTAAGCAATATGAAGAGCCTATGGCATAGCACCTTCAAGCATGTTAAGGTAAAAATGTTGCGACCCTGTATCTTTCCAGTGGCAACAGTATAGATGTGAGTCAAGGACTCTCACCCAGTCTTTTAAGAATAAAATAAAAGATTTGATGAACTGAAATGCTACAGCAAAATGCACAGAATACCGTGAAACAATAAGAAGACAAACATCGACATCTTTTATGACCTGAACATAGAGGAGAACTGGCTGGTAAACAGCTTCCTCTATCAAAACTGAGGTATTTGAGACGTTTCAAGCGTCACTGTGTTCTAGAGAGAACGGTGTTGAAGGATGCAGCGTGACAGAGGCTGACAACCGCGAGAGTGGATACAAGACACTGGAGATGATTGGCTATTAAAACACACAGGGCTGGAGAGCTGGCAAAAGAGAGTGTGTGTGAGAGAGAGAGAGAGAGAGAGAGAGAGAGAGAGAGAGAGAGAGAGAGAGAGAGAGAGAGAGACTTTTCAGCGTGCCGTTAAGAAAGCAACTTTCTGTAATCAATATGCTGACTGACTGTTTGTTGTAGGAATGCCCATGATCTATGGCATCGTTTGGCATAAGGTGTCCACACTTCAGCCGAGAACAGTCAGCATTGCATCGTTTTCATGTTTGTCTAGTATTTTAATATGTGTTACTCATATGGTGGCTGGTGATGGAGAGGATTAATCCCTGGTACAGCACCTCAAGTACCCTTGTTCAAAGTTTGTAGCAGCCATACATTTGATTGTAAATGGACCTTTCTTGGCCACATGGTAATAGTCAGGTCTACATGATTTTATATGTTACCGAAAGATTGTAAAAGTATCTTGGACATAGAAGAGAGGAAACGGGTATTCTTCATGATCTGAATATTGAGAAGGACTAGCTCATTAAACAGTAACGCTTTTCATTAACGTGAATATTCTGTGTTAAATTAAAGGCCGTTATGTGTTAGAGATAAAATTGATGAAGAGTGGAGTTCTTGCAAGAATAGGCAGAGACTGACCAGCACGACGAATGTCCCAGAATATGCTAGACATGAAAGTTCGGATAGCGTGAGATATCTGAGGAACCGAGGCCTTTCCGGCGTGCCTTGAAACAGTTGTGCCTTGTAGTAGGGTGGACTCCTAGGATTTTTTTTTTTTTTTTTTAGTATCCAGAAGCCATGAGTTGTTAACCCTTAGGCTCGGTATTATGGATATCGCAACCTTTCGGCCTTGATTCCATGATAAATACCGTAAATCTGGGAGAAATGTGGCTTTTCTGCCTACCCCCGGACGTGAACCCGGACCACAAGGAGTTCTTTACCCGGTCACCGCGCAGTCCGGTTTAGCCAACTACACTAGAGAGCCGGGCGGCTGCTAGGATAACCTGTAGTCAATATGTATTTATTGAAAACTATAGACAAACGTTTTTATATGCAAGAGGTATAGATCTTTGCGGATGATGTGCAGAAGACAAAAGGAAGGATACTGATACAGTGTGAGAACCACTGGTCTTCAAGCCTAGCAAAGTTAAAGAGAGACAGTAGAAAAAATAAATACTATTATTAATAATTATAAATTTTGTAGAGCAGGCTGTAAATGGCAGCTTGGTATGAGGGCGACGTGTAGCTTGACTAATATTCTCCATCACCAACGGCTGACACTTGGAACGCGATATAGCGCAGACTGCAAGAAGTAGATGGTGGGCGCGTGAGGCTGGCTTCTACAAATAGTTAGCTGGTGCACAACTACCACAAGCTGCATCATAGCTGTTTGACTGCGTGAAAATGTTGAGCATTCATGAGCTTCTTCCAAGTGCAGGCAGGCTAAAGTTTTATTATTATCAAATTCATTTATTATTAATGCATTTATGATTGAAAAGCTCCTGGCTAGGAGTTTAGAAAGCTGGGCTCTCGATCGAAAGACCAGGGTTCCAGTCTAGGTGAGGCGATGAGACTTTTTCTGTAGGAGTCAAACAGTTAAATTTCACTCTACATGTTATGTAGCGACTGCATTAGCCATGCGATGCTAAATGCTCAAAAACAAGGCCCGATGCTATATAAAGCCCTAAAAAAGCCCACCCGTACTACACGGCCCTAAAGAGTAGTAAAAGCCCACCTGCCGTTCACAGCGCTAAAAGGTGGCAAAAGCCCACCCGTCCTACACGGCTCTAAAGAGTGGTAAAAGCCCATCAGAAGTACACAGCCCTAAAAAGTGGTAAAAGCCCATTTGTCCTACACGGCACTAAAAAAGTGGTAAAAGCCCATTTGTCCTGCACAGCCCTAAAAAGGGGTAAAGCACGGACGGGAATGATAATTTTAAGGATAGTAGTTATTATCTGAAAGCTGTCACTATTGTATATTTTACGACATTCTAGGGCGGCGTAGAAAGGGGGAGGCGGAAGGCAGGGGGGGGGGGAGTGGGGGTGCGTGAGCGTCATGTTTTAGGAACGCATGGCTAGTCCTGTCGCCACGAACAGTGCAGGTTAAGATGTTTAATTAAGCCCCCCACAGAAAAACTCCATCGCCTTACCGGGGGATGAACTCCGGTCTCCCGCATGAGATCCCAACGTTGTAACTGCTAGCCCAGCCACTCATTTGTAGTTATCATTATTAATATCAAATGCGTTGCCTACTAGCCAGATCGATCCTGCTTCACCACTCATGCGATCTCCAGCAACCGATATCAGCTCATTTGCTCATGTCCACCTTTCCATGACAAATCTTCTCAAATCTCTCAGTCCACAAATCGTTCTTTCGGCGTCTGTGGCTTTAGGCGTTGCGAACGCGCTTCGAAATGCTGAGGCATTGGGTTCGATTCTGACTCTGGTCGATTTTGAAGCACAGCGTTTTGCGTTGGTTTCGGCAGTGGTACTGAGAGCTGACCGTTCACAATGGCAAACTACGCAAAATGTGCCTAGAAAAGCCACATTAGCCAAAAAATGTTGGGGTTGGTTTTGAAATATCCTGTAAAGAATACGCAACTAACTTGAACAAATCTTTCTAATTAGGGCAAGGTGTTCTGGTTTTCTTTTCTCATTATGATTGCTTTTTTTTTCTGATGTCGTGAAAAGTTGTCCTGGCGTGTAATTTAAAAAAAAAAAAAAAACATTTATACTCGCCGTGTAAATGACACATTAAATGTGTCAACTTTCTCCTGTAAAACCAGGATATGTTGCCTTGTTTACTAACTGGCCAGGATTCCAGCCACTGGTTATTCTTCGTATGAGTTCCAGGTGCCCATTTTAAGGGAACAAAGAATCCTGACTGCCAAATAGGCATGCTGTGAAGGGCGACTAATTAGAGGTTTGTTGAAACCTTATGTGTTAGGTCAGAAGACGAAGATATCACAGCACATCTGTAAACCACAACAATAGGTACGACCCTCAATTATAAGGACGAACCCAGTAGTAGTAGTAGTAGTAGCAGCAGAAGCAGCAGCAGCAGCAGTAGTAGTAGTTGTAGCAGTAGTAGTAGAAGACGAAAAGTAATTTCTAATAACTGAACGAGAAGGAATTTCTAATAACTGGCATTTAATTAAAAAGCTGACCGAATTTACTTTCCAAGACACATCTCGATACCAATTTTTGAGTCTTTTTGAGATAAATAAAAACTAATGAAAATGATAATCATCTTCACATATTCACATGTCCTATGTCAGATGCACAACTTTAAAGTATTTTAACAGTAAGAAATCCAAAATACTTAGAACACTCTTTTCATCATCATCATCATCATGTGCCCTGCCCAGCAGCGTAGGCCCTCGTATCTCTCCACAGATTTCGTTCCCTGGTATTTTTAATCAGTTTCAGTGAAGATATTCTCCGTGCCATCGCATCAGGCCGTCAAAGATCGTTTTTCTTGGTCTGCCTCTTCCGCTTCTACCGTTAATCATCCCAGTCGTGTCGATGTTCTTTCTCTTTTCATAACATCACGAAAGAACACATACTTTCTCTTTCTTTTAACTGTTTATAATCATCATCATGTAGCAGGTCCTTTCCAGAACGTCGCTCTCATCGCGGTCTGCTTGAAAGAAACTCAGTCTCTCCAACTCTCTCACCTCATGTCCTTTCATACTCAAGGGGTCACTTATATCCTGTGCCCATCTTAGTGTTGGTTGGCGCCCTGCCCCTCCTTCGTGGTACCATGCCTTCTGCTATAGATTTTGCAATTTCACTAGCCATTTCCAAGCAGTCGCCGTTAGTCACTCTGCTTTTCCTAGGTCTCCACAACACACAAGCCCTTCTACACTTCATAATCTCAGCATTGACAGTAAGCCTGTAAACAATTAAGGAGATAACATGTTCAGCTAAAATAATGTTGGGATTCTTACCGTTTTCAGAAAGCATGTGTTTTCGCGTAGAGCACCACATAACCCTATGAAGCACACCACCGTGGCCACAGAACCTCCTAAACACAAGATACATGCAGGGTCCAGAAGGAAGTCGAGGACATCATATACCTTCTTCTGTTTTACAACTAGGATGTAAGCTCCCAGTGCCGTTACAAATGTGCCCGCAAACTGTGAAGACAAATAGGCTCGTGAATAGACAGACAGACAGACAGACAGACAGACAGACAGACAGACAGACAGACAGACAGACAGACAGACAGACAGACAGACAGACAGACAGACAGACAGACAGACAGACAGACAGACAGACAGACAGACAGACAGACAGACAGACAGACAGACAGACAGACAGACAGACAGACAGACAGACAGACAGACAGACAGACAGGCAGGCAGGCAGGCAGGCAGGCAGGCAGGCAGGCAGGCAGACAGACAGACAGACAGACAGACAGACAGACAGACAGACAGACAGACAGACAGACAGACAGACAGACAGACAGACAGACAGACAGACAGACAGACAGACAGACAGACAGACAGACAGACGGACAGACAGACGGACAGACGGACAGACGGACAGACGGATAGACAGATTGACAGACAGACAGACACGACCAAAGAATGTAGATTGTGTTTTTCTGATGTGGGCAAACAGTTCTCTATGTGAATTACTTTCTGTTCTTCTTGACACACTAATACACTTTATATCGATCTCACATTTTTTTTAAAAATAGATTCTGTGATACTAGATACCCTATTTAACCGTCTTTACTGTTGTATTCACCACTTAATATTATGCGGAATAATTTGGCATAGTTTCTGAGCTTTATGACACGCATACCTTTGTCAAAGCAATCTGTAGCCAATTTTAAACACCGGTATTTCGAGTTTATGAAACTGTTTTGACAAGTTTACGTCGCAAATAGAAAATCTTTGCATAAATGTAATTTTATTTCCTGCCTCCACTATTCCGGCAAAACCAAGTTGCTTGCAGTTAACTTTGAAGTCTGAACATACACGCCAACATTCATGACAAATGCAGATTGAAACTTACCCATAGTAAAAAGTTCTCGAAAAACAAACTGTATTTGGTACAGATCCCAACTTCAGAATAATCATCGTACATTTCTCTCAGTCGCGTCCTCTCGTTGGATGTATCACATTGCTGCAGTGTCATGCTGAATGGGAAAACACATATGTTTACAGCGACTTATTTATTCAGATACACATCACATAGTTACTACCTAGGGAGGTCCTATTATAAAATGTCGATTGAGTCGGGTATCGATCACAATTCGCATTTGTGTGTAGAAATATCGTTTTTATTTAAACAGGGTTAAAATGGGTAGGCGGTAAAGAGTCCGCTTAAATCTGTAGTCTAAAATGCTAAAATGGTTACCAGGAAATACCATGGGAAGTAAAGATACATGTGTGGTGATGACTCCATCACTTACCGAAATGGACTATTGGACAATAATGTGGAAATGATCCCGTACTTACTTTTACTTATCTTTCACAAAATTTCTGGTAGTGTCCAAAAGAGCTTCCAGTTTTATAAATGATATCTCCAAAGACAACGCTATACGTAAAGTAGGTTAGAGCACAGCCTTTGTATATGTGACTGTGCATATTTAATTTTTTTAAAAACTCAAGATGCGACCAGCACACGAGCACATAAACAACCTGTCGAAGGCACGGATATAGAGCAGTCGATACAAAGGAGATTTTTTTTCCCAGTACATCCATATTTCTGTGTTGTGTGGGCATTTTTTAACCCCCTTCGCACGAAGTAGCGCGTTAACTATCTATTGTTAGTATCTTATGTTCTATGCAAAGCGTAATTAATTAGTTCCACCTGAGCGTTTGTTAATCGTTGTTATCTTTGCTCTACTGTAACACACAGTGCTGAACACACACACTGCCCAGATTCACACATCCTGTGCTGAACACACACACTGCCCAGATTCACACATCCTGTGCTGAACACACACACTGCCCAGATTCACACATCCTGTGTGATTCCCAGCCATTGTTTTATACGTTCTCTTAGGTTTCTTTTTGTGCCTTTCTGATCTGATTTTGTTAAATTATTTTGTAATAAAAACATTGTTTTAAAAAAACAGAACAAAACTTTTCATTAGTTGAAACATCCACTGGTTGGTTTATTACAACGAATGAACATCGTGACACAAGGGTTGTAACCCATAAGTGCTCAATTCTACTTCTAAATCAAGCCTGAGTCCGATGAATTTTCCAGGGCGGTGCACGAACTCCGTAGCACCGACGAGGGCCCTGAAATACTTTGGGTAGATTTTTAACTCCAAATTTTTCCCAGGCAGCTCCGTTAGGCTACTCTTTTTTATTTCAAACTGCCAGGTTTTTTGTTTAATGTGCGCAACATTATACACGGGCGTCCAATCTTACTACCCAGAGACCAGTGGAAATTACTAGAAGTTCATGTGAGAAAATCCCAGCCTTCGCCGAGGCCTGAACCCGGGACATCCAACACTCGGGACATACGCTATGCTTCAAGACCACAATGTACTCATAGTTCTTAGGATATAATTGGCTGTGTTGTGTGCGAGTGTGTGGGGGAGGGGGAATGTGTGATGGCGTGTGTTGTGGAGTGTGTCCATTTCAGTTCCATCCAGTTTTAAATATGATGTTGATTTACATAACCAGTATTCTCTTCTTAAATGACGTGAAACAATTCTTTGATTTTTCCTTTTATATATATATATATGTGTGTGTGTGTGTATGTGTGTGTGTGTGTGTGTAAAAACTAATTCTACTTCTCGTTTCGTTTGATGTCTGCCTAGTTTTTAAGTAATACTTAAGAAAGAACGTGAACAACCCGCTCGCCACCAAGTGACCACGAAAACGACCTTACAGTGTCGATGAGATCAAAAGAGACAGACCAAGGCAGCCCTGTTGTCATAGATATGACTGCAGCTTGTTAAAATCCCTGTGTTGTCACTATGTCTTCGTTATCCTAGTAAAGAGGAGAGAAGGAAAACTTTCCATGACCCTATGGTTCACCTGTTAGCCTCACGAATGTCTATCCCACCTGCGCTGCTACCATAAGGGGCAACACCTGCCCGTGAAACCTGCAGTCCAAGCGGGTAAGGATGTGTGACTCTCGCGCTCTACAGATAGATGGACAGTTCGTTTTCAGATTACATCTTTTGCTTCAGAAGGCACCCTTCTCCACCCCAACCCCTCTCCAGCCCCACTTCGATATCCCTTTAATCGTGGCTTATGCTGTGGAGTTCGTTTGCCATGCTCTCGCCATGCAGCTACACACTAAGCCACGTTCGAGACTGTCATAAGGGAGAAAACCCAGTGCACGGAAATATATATCCAGTTTCGTCCTTTTCAGGACGAAATTTTTTGTCATTTGAAGCCCTACTCTGGCTTTTGCCAGGGGCCGCAATATAGGCAGGCCATACATATGGCCAAATGTCTGAACGCGGTTTCTGGGACTCCACGGTATCCTCAGCACTTTTGTGATCGGGTGTTTATCGCTTGTGTGATGTCCTGGTGGGGTAGAAAGTCAGTCAGTCAGTGCACGGAACTGGTTACTTAACTTCCCGTCTTGACTGTAAGCCTTGACTCTTCTAATCGTTGATTCCCTCCCTTGCTTCAATAAGGATCCATAAGTACTATTGCTATGTTTTTAAGTAAATTCATGAATTTATATTTCTTGATATTACTTCGTTCATCTTGTTTGAATGCATGTAAAGTATTAGACTGAAACCACGGTAGCGCATTGGCTAGACACCTGTCTGGCGACCTGAAGACTTTGGTTCCACCCCGCATCTAGTGACTTTAGCTCTCAAGTTTGCCAAGCCTAAAATTGGTACCAGGCTTAGTCCTGAGAAGAAAATGAGAAAAACGTTCACGTCTGCATAACAGCTGCAGTGTTTGTGTTTTGTTATTTAATCCATGCCTGAGTAATATACGTTGCTGAAGCCCACATGTTACTTGAATGGCTATGTGTGAGTGTTGTCAACTTTCCATGTGTTGGTTCAAGTGGATAATCGACCTAGGCAATGACGACAACATTTTAAAGGCGTCTGGTTGACCTTACATTAAAGTACTCTGGTTGTGCATATTGATTCATGCAGTTTACGCGCATTTTTCAATGATGAAATAGGTGGTGTGTGTGCATGTGTGTGTGTGTGTGTGTGTGTGTGTGTGTGTGTGTGTGTGTGTTTGTATGGTGAGGGTTGTTCTAAAGTCAACATTGCTTTGTGTGCACTTTGAACAATTTCAATCATTAAATTATACAGATTTCGAATGTCAAAATTCTGACAAACATTAATGTTTCTGTCGGTAGCTATGTGCTTTTCTTTCTTTCTTTCATTTTTGTTTTTTTTGAGTCGTATATATTTTTGCACTGGAACCCACAGGGGCATAGACATAAGAGAGACTATACAACAAATGGAGACTTGAGCTAGAGAGTGAAGTTAAAGGATGGGGAGGACATGGGGAGAGCTGCATGCGATTGCGAAGGGTATAATGACGACTTGGTGTGAGTTAGTTGAGGGCCTATGCTCCACTGGGGGATTAGAGGGGGAAGCAAAGAAGAAGTATATATTTTGCGGCCCTTAAAATTGTATCTGCCTGTACAGCTGCACAGATTAATTTTTTTTTTTGTTTAAGTAGTAAAGGTCCTCTTTTTACATCAGTGACGCATCGGGTATCATCTTCTTTCTCTTTGATCCCTTTGTCAGAAAACTTATATCAGGAGGCCTTTATGAAAGCTATCGTGCAGTCCATATCTCCGTGGGGACCATACAGCTTGGGATTGGAAATGGTCAGACTGCGTTTCTGATGGCAGCATACAGTTGACAATGTTGGAGCACATGCTCAGCATTTTCTGGTACCACTTGAAAGGACACGTCTTCCTGTTTCCTACACCCAAAAGTTTGAACATTCGTTGACGAAGTCTTTTGTGTCCTGTCCTTAGTCTGAATGTAATATATTGTCCCTCTCTAGAGAGGCACTGAAGTGAGTCTCGAGAAACTTGTGTGTGCGTGGGTGCGAGTGTATGTGTATGTGTGCGTGTGTGTATGTATGGCCACTTTTCTTGGATTTTACACTGCATTATTATTTCTGTCTCTTGGTGGGTTAAGTCCTTGTTTGCACCATGTCACTGCCACTTCTGGCATAGGTCGGCTATTCCATTGCCTTCCAAGCCACAGTGACCTAGAATCCACTGCAGTGCAGATTGGTGTATTGAAGAGTATGTGATGCTCGACGCAAATCGTTGTATGTCAAATCGACTGAAGGCAGTCGGGTTTGAAAATTCCCTCTATAACGGAGATTTAAACACAAGTCCACCGAACGGACAGGCCACAGCAGTACACGTAAATTGGACATCTACTGCTTAGACTATATCATTTATTCACGTCTATGTTTGTCACACCACCTGAAGCCAGTGGGTGGTACAGACTTCACAAATAACAAGAAAACCCTGTGTACTAATGGAGGTCACGTGACGCTAGGTAATGAAAATGCATGCTTCACTCAACTCACACCTGCATGGTATTCGTGTGCTTGCACGTGCCGTATTGACGTGAGCATTTTTCGCGCAATAGGTAGTTGGGAACACTCCAATCATGAGATGTGTGAACTAACTTATAGCACATTTGTGAAGACTAAGATCCTGCAGCTGTGTTTCGGAATAGAAAATTGCTTCGAATGAAATCAAATATGGGAAGACTCCAATCCTATAGCTGTGCCTTATAAAACAAAACAACAACTAAAGACTGTTTCAATCCAACGCTGATATGGGAACAATTCAGTCTAGTCGAGATAAAAAGAACTGACCATTCATTAAAGTCGTAGCTTTATGGGTTCCTTATAACAGGACGCAGTTTAACCTAGGTAAATTGTAGATCGGCGTCTGTGGCTCATGCGTTGTGAAAGTGCATCGTAATGCCGGGGTGCCGGGTTCGAACCTAGCTGCCGGCAATTTTATCCTCAGAACGTCTTGTATTGGTTTCGACAAGTGGTACCGAGAGCTGACTGATGAGAAAGCAATAGCAAATTAATGAATCTAAAATTTGCCTAAAAAACCACACACAACCAAAAAAATGCTGGGGTTGGTTCTGCATCGTCCTGTAAAGGATATGCGACACACTATGTTGTAGATAGTTTCACTATTCAGTC